GGCTATCCAAAATTAAACACATTTCAATTTTATGCTACATTATACTTAAAATTATTATACTTAGGGCTTATTCGGTAGTAATTTTGAGAATTGATTTTTTGACCGTTGAAGAGAAAAATCCCATTCTTTGGTCAAGAAAATGAAAAATATTACTATTATCCATCATATCAAGTCACCATATTTGACTTCTTCTCTTTTGAATTGATCCCATAACGATTATATTTTTCATTCTCATTCTCATAAGAATGAGAATAAAAACAACTTTTACGTTGCATTATACTTAAAATCATCGTGTCCTGTTGCTAAAGCAAGCAAGACTTTAAATCTACTTATAATGGTCTAACACTTGGCTCCATAAATCCATTATAAATGTTAAATTATTCAACCTATCACCCGACGGGTGCATCAATGAAATTAATATCATTGTCTCGGATGGATTTGCTTTGACTTTTGAATTGATTTTAAATTTTCAAGAAAAAATGGTTTATTAACTAGAAATAAAGTATATATCTTGAAAAATGTAGCTAAATAGTTTCTTTGGTTTCCATGGAAAGTATGTGAGCTTCCATAAACAAGAAATGACGTTTATTTACGCTGAGTTTATGTGAATGATTATCAGAGTTACGGACAAATAAATGATTTATTTTTATATAATAATAGCCGTAGAGGCAGATCGAGCAATCTGGGGACCTTAGGCAACATTACCAAGAGGTCATTTTGAGGGAAAAAAATAATGGAGCAAATAACTATTGATAAAAATTCTGTTGGGATCACAATTGCTAAGTTTGATTAAAATTAATATATGTTAATGATTCAAATGGAATTATCATCGATTGTTGATTGATAAGTGTGTTTTTACACATTTATTTAGATCACAAACATAACTTAATTAAGAGAAAAATGTTTAAATTGTGACTTAATCTTGTTGAATTCATGCAATGTAAGTGTTACTATGGAAATGGTGGAATTCAGGATAAAAGAGCCGAAAAAAGACTAAAATGGAGCAAAGTGATAGTTCAAGAACCAAAGTGCAACTATCCAAAAGATGGTTCGAAGGACAAATCAAGGAAGTTAATGAGCTAAGTACCAATTTGGTGATATTATGAGTTGATGGAAATAAAATAAACAAGCGAAAACGAACTAAAGTTGAAGAAACTGAAAGTTCGGGGACCAAGTTGCAAATAATTCATAGATGAGACGGGTAATGGAATGAAGATTCAAGAGTGTTAGAGGTCAATCGGATGAGAAAAGGAGTCAAAGAGGTGAAATATGGTTGAAATATTATCAAGTATCAACTTTCAGGCGAAAAAGTTATGATCGTGATTTTTAGTCTCTACTTGAGATTCATTTTTGGCATAGTAAACATCAGAATTTGAGAAAGCTCCTTCTATCAAAAGTGTAGATCTTTGAGTTTTCTTTCCAATGTACTTTGAATCACTTCAATCGAAGATCAGGAGAAAAAGTTATAACCAAAATACTAAAAGTTATTCCGCGGAAAGAATCGCATAACTATGCGGTCACATGGTAGAAACCTCTATGCAGTCGCATAGAGGCCTCCCGAGAAAATTTTCTCATATTTTTTTACTCTATGCGACCGCATAGAAATGTACTATGCGGTCGCATAGGTATATTCTGGGGGTCGATTCTGCAGTTTCCTTATACGATTGAAACTCTTTTGGTAACCTAATTTTCATACGATATAAATACCAAAAGACGTCCAGAAAGAGGCAGAACGGATTGGAGGTAGAAAAACACTTCTTGGAGAGGATTTTGAGCGCAAGAACGAAGATTTACACGAAGAGCCTCAAGATTTATCAAAATTTCATATCCCGGTGATGCCTTTTATCCAAAATCTGATATATTCTTTTATTTTAACCATGTTAGGCTAGATTTTTATATGCTAGGAGATCGATGTACCATGTAATTTGATCTTTAATTTTATAGTTTTGCAATTTGAAATTAAGACATATTTCTATTGATTTGAATGATTTATATGCAATTATTGTTTCCGCAATTAATGGCCCGCAATTGTGTGAGTTTAGGTGATTTATTCTTGTATTTGAGAGAATTGGAATAAGTTTGACGTAATATAAATCATCGTAAGGTCCGATAGGGGATAGAAATATACCACTATACCCTACGTGAATCTTTAAGTGTTCATAAAACCGCATGCGTTTTTACATATGCACTTGTCATAGAAATATAGGCTGGTGGTATGTAGAAATAGGTTCGATACATCTCGAGAGGGAGTATTGAATAGACTTAGGAACATTGATTCGTCACAATTGAAGTGTGTTGTCACATTGTGAAACTAGGGTTTTAAAGTGATAATTGCATGGGAAATTGTGATTTTAATGTGTTTAATTTCTATTGATTTTAACAAACGTTCGTTCTCAACATTTGATTTCATTCTAGAGTGTTAAAAATATTGTTTTTAATATTTAATTTAATTCAATCATAAAAATTGCATAATTAGGGCTTTCTTTCCAAAATTAGGGTTTTCATTAGGTTCACATTTACTTTAGTAATTTAGTTTCGGTTAAGGCGACGATAGATAAAATTGAACTAATCAATTTCTGTGGGACAATATTCGGACTCATTTAATCCACTTTATTACTTGTTAACGAACCATACACTTACGGTAGTTTTAAATCGAAAGAAATAATTTCGCAAACAAGTTTTCGGCGCCGTTGCCGGGGATTGAGTTTAGTTTAATTTTATTTCTCGAGGCACTAATTCGAACTTCAATTTTTATTTTGCTAGTATAATTTTGTTTTTATTTTAGGTTATTATCCGTTATTTGTATTTTAGTTATTTAAATTGTTAGAAACTCAGTGTGCTCGTACTGGTTTTATTTCTCAGATTTGCATGCCACGATCGACTGGAGGAGAATTGATTCCAGCTGATCCTGAAATCGAGCGCACCTTTCATCAACTACAAAGAGATCACTCAGAAGCACAAGTACAAATGGTTAATGAACTAAACAATCCCATTATTCAAGCTAATGAAGGAGAGGCAATGGACGAAGTAAATGAGATTTTGGGAGATTTCTTGACTCCTCAAGTAATTCAAAGTCAATTTAGCATAGTGTATCCACCGTTTGGGCAGCCAAATTTTCAGTTGAAGACCAATGTGATACAGCTATTTCAAAATCGACACCAATTTTATGGCAAATCCGAGGAGAATCCACATACACACATATCTCGATTTTTGGATAGGTGTCAACATTTCAGATACCAAGGGATTTCGGACAACGCTATTAGGCTAAGGCTGTTTCCACATATGCTACGAGACAGAGCACTTGAATGGTTGGATTCACTTCCGGTTGCAAGTATCACTACTGATGAGTGTAATTCACTCATTAAACTAAAGCTTCTAAATCACATTTTTGATGTGTTCTTGAGCATTTTTGAACGTTTTGATGTGTGTGTTCGTGTTGTTTTGCAGTTTGGACAACTCTCGAGAAAATACCACTATTGGGAGTCGGTGATGAGCAAAAATGATGATCAATGAAATGGAGCATGAATAAGTAAGTATTGAATAAGATTGGAGTGGAAAATAGGCTTGGAAAAACAAAGTGAAGAGAAGCAAAGCAGTGGCATTGGCGCTACGGCGCCGAAAAAAGGGCACCATGGTGCCCCCAAAGTGATGAATCCAAGCAGAAACTTAGGCGTCACGGCGCCAGACCATGGCGCCAAATCCCGAAACGTTAAAACCCGAATTTTTAATTATCTTTTAGGCCCAAAAATCATACCCTAACCCTTGAGGACTCTTAAAAAATATGAATACCAAGATGAAGAACAAGAGAAGGGGGTTAGACGACTGAAGAGGCAAGAAAAAAGAGAGGTACCAATTGAGAGAAGATCGACCCGATTTTGGAGAAGAAGAAGGGAGAAAATTGAGAAATCAAGCAACAAGATTGAGAAATAGAGCAGCAACTTGAGTTTTTTCTATCTTTCTCTTATACATGCACTCTAGTTTGTATTTTATTGTGTTTTTCTTCTCGATCATGAACTAAACTATTAAATCTAGGGTTTGATGTAACATATTTGAGACATGATTTAATTTCTTTATAGTATTTCCATTTAATTTTCCAGAATTGATTTGTATTGTTCTAGTTTAATGCTTTCAGTTGCCTGATCACCAATTGAATGAATTGATGTTCTAAATTTGACGCTCGAGAGAGGGAAATTTAGGCGTGATCTAAGAACAATATAACCTAGATTTGTAGGTTTCGAGAGAAAACACGAATCTTTGAGGGTAAAACAAGAACCAAGTGCGTGATAATCTTTACATATTTAATTTGGAATAGATATATTGGGATTAAAATATAGAGATAGGTTCTATTTGACGCTCGAGAGGGGGAGATAGAATTAATTTAGGATTCTTGCCTATGAATTCGGGAAATAGTTGATGGAAATATCTATAGGGATTGAGAATTATGTCGATAATACGGTGAAATCACTCCCTAGACATTACGTAAGTTTGATTTAGTCTTTAGAAATTGCCTCACTTTTATTGCACTATTTAATTCATTGACGTTATTCAAGTATTAATTTAACACTCGATTGTCTAGATAAAGTAAACGGGAACACAATTATAGTACTCAGTGGAAGTCGAATATCAATCCCTGTGGGTTTGACACTTTTCAATTCTTTAATATACTACAAAACTTGACACCGTGCGCTTGCGGTATAAAATCACGTTATATAAAACGCGTGGCAAGTTTTTGGCGCCGTTGCCGGGGATTGATTCATTCGAATTCAATTGATATTATTACCAATCGACGTTCATTTTACTCTAGATTTTTATTTTTACCGTAATTTTTATTTTACTCTTTTTGTGTCTATCTTTAAAAGCTTCCTTGTGATTATCAAAAACTTGCCACGCGTTTTATATAACGTGATTTTAGCGTCATTGTCTTCTTCCATATCCAAAATCAAGATGTCTGCTGGGAATATGAGTTTATCCACTTTGACTAATACATCTTCAATAATCCCTCATGGATGTGTAAGTGATCGATCAGCTAACTGTAGAGTTACTGTGGTTGTCTTAGGCTCTCCCAATCCTAGTTTCCTGAAAATAGAGAGTGGCATCAAGTTAATACTCGCACCGAGATCACACAATGGTTTATCAAAATAAAAATCACCAATTGTGCAAGGGACAGTGAAACTCTTTGGATATTTCAGTTTTGGTGGGAACTTTTTCTGGATTCTGGCACTGCATTCCTCCGTAAGCATTACTGTCTCATGATCCTCCAGCTTGTTTGTTTGATATAATATCTTTGAGAAACTTCGCGTAGCTAGGCATCTGGAATAGTGCATCAGCCAGTGGGATGTTGATATGGAGCTTTTTGAAGACTTTTAGGAATTTTTTGTACTGTTGCTCCAATTTTTACTTCTTCAACAGCCGTAGAAAGGGAATCGGAGTCTCGTATGGGTTGACTGTGACTTTGGCCTTATCCTATGACTTTTTTGAATTTTCCTTTGGAGTTGATTCCTTTACAACAGTCTCTTCTTCAGCAGGGAAAGATGTCTCTCCAATCGCACCCGATCTCTTGACATGGATTTCAGACAATTGTACTCCACTTCGAGTTGTAATGGCCTTGGCTTGCTCTTTGGGATTGATTTCTATGTTACTCAGCAAGTTACCTGGCGTTCTGCCAGTCAATGCTATGGCCAATTGCCCCATCTGAGTTTCCAAATTTTTTATAGCTGTATTTTGATTTTGAAGTGTAGCTTCGGCTTTCTCCATGAATTTTCCTATCATATCTTCCAATTGAGGCCTCTTCTCTTGTTGTTGAGATTGTCCCTGTGGCCTATTTTGATTTTGGTTATTCCAATAGAAGTTGGGATGCATCTTCCAATTGGGATTGAAAGTTTCTCCATATTGATTGTGTTGTTAGCGTTGTCCCCACTGTGCATATTCTGCTTGCTCAATTCCTTGCATAAGTATCGAGCATTTCGATGTTTTATGCTTAGCTCCACATTCCTCACAATTGCTCTTCTTAGCTTGTGCTGCTTGTGATATGCTTTCCACCTTGTGATACAGAGAGTCGATTTTAGCAGATATTGCTGAATAAGTATTCACCTCGTAGACACCCGAAGTTTTTCTTGGAATTGCCCTCTCAGAAGACCACATGGCTGAAGTGGTAGCCATTCTCTCAAATAATTTCAATGCCCCATCAACTGTTCGTGTGGATATTGAGCCATCTGACGCTGAATCCACCATGCTCTTGTGCTATGGAAGTAACCTTGTATAGAAGAATCAGATTTGGGTTTTTTTATCAAACCCATGTTGAGGGCACTTCCGGAGCATGTTTTTGAATCTGTTCCAAGCTTTGTCAAATGATTCGATTTCTCTTTGACTGAATACTCATATGTAATGTCTTAGCTTCGCTATCTTGGCTGGGGAGAAAAACTTTGTGCAGAATTTATGTGCCAACTCGTTCCATATAGTGATACTTGCAACCGGAAGTGAATCCAACAATTTAAGTGCTTTGTCTCATAGCGTATGTGGAAACAACCTTAGCCTAATAGCGTCGTCCGAAATCCCTTAGTATCTGAAATGTTAACACATATCCAAAAATCGAGATATGTGTGTGTGGATTCTCCTTGGCTTTGCCATAAAATTGGTGTCCATTTTGAAATAGCTGTATCACATTGGTCTTCAACTGGAAATTTGGCTGCCCAAATGGTGGATACGCTATGCTGGATTGACTTTGAATTACTTGAGGAGTCAAGAAATCTCCCAGAATCTCATTTCCTTTGTCCATTGCCTCTCCTTCATTAGCTTGAATAATGAGATTGTTTAGTTCGTTAGCCATTTGTACTTGTGCTTCTTGGTGATCTCTTTGTAATCGATGAAAGGTGCACTCGATTTTAGGATCAGCTGGAATCAATTCTCCTCTAGTCAATCGTGACATGCAAATTTGAGAAACAAAATCAGTACGAGCACTGCAATTCAAACAATTTAAATAACTAAAACACAAATAAGGGATAATAACCTAAAATAAAAATAAAAACAAAATTATACTAGCAAAATAAAAATTGAAGTTCGAATTAGTGCCTCGAGAAATAAAATTAAACTAAACTCAATCCCCGGCAACGGCACCAAAAACTTGTTCGCAAAATTATTTCTTTCGATTTAAAACTACCGCAAGTGTGCGGTTCGTTAACAAGTAATAAAGTGGATTAAATGAGTCTGAATATCGTCCCACAGAGATTGATTAGTTCAATTTTATCTATCATCGCTTTAACCAAAACTAAATTACTAAAGTGAATTTGAACCTAATGAAGACCTTAATTTTGGAAAGAAAGCCCTAATTATACAATTTTTATGATTGAATTAAATTAAATATGCTAAACAATATTTTTAACACTCTAGAAAGAAATCAAATGTCGAGAACGAATGTTTATTGTAATCAATAGAAATTAAACACACTAGGATCACGATTTCTCATGCAATTATCACTTTAAAACCCTAATTTCACAATGTGACAACACACTTCAATTGTGATGAATCAATGTTCCTAAGTCTATCCAATACTCTCTATGGAGATGTATCGAACCTATTTCTACATATCACCGGCCTATATTTCTATGACAAGTGCGTATGTAAAAATGCATGCGGTTTTATGAACGCTTAAAGATTCACGTAAGGCATAGCGGTATATTTCTATCCCTATCGGACCCTACGATGAATTATATTACGTTGAACTTATTCCAATTATCTCGAATGCAAGAATAAATCACCCAAACTCACACAATTACGGGCCCTTAATTGCGAAAACAATAATTGCATATAAATCATTCAAAACAATAGAAATATGTCTTAATGTCAAATTGCAAAATTAGAAAATTAAAGATCAAATTACATGGTACATCGATCTCCTAGCACATGAAAATCTAGCCTAACATGGTTAAAATAAAAGAATACATCAGATTTTGGAGCATAATCGGGTTACGAAATCTTGAGAAATCTTGAAGCTCTTCGTGTAAATCTTCGTTCTTGAGCTCAACATCCTCTCCAAGAAGTGTTTTTCTACCTCCAATGCGTTTTACCTTTTTCTGGACGTCTTTTGGTATTTATATCGCGTGAAAATTAGGTTACCAAAAGAGTTTCAGTCGTATAAAGAAACTGCAGAATCGGCCCACATAATATACCTATGCGACCACATAGTACATTTCTATGCGGTCGCATAGAGTAAAAAAAAATTTGAGAAAAATTTCTCGAGAGGACTCAATGGAACCGCATAGAGGTTTCTACCATGCGATCGCATAGTTATGCGATTCTTTTCACCGGACAACTTTTAGTGTTTTGGTCATAATTTTTTTTCCTGATCTCTGATTGAAGTGATTAAAAGTGAACTGGGAAGAAAACTCAAAGATATACACTTTTTATAGAAATAGGATTTCTCAAATTCTGATGTTTACTATGTCAAAAATGGATCTCAATTAGAGACTAAAAATCACGAGCATAACTTTTTCACCTGAAAGTTGATACTTGATAATACTTCGACCATATTTCACCTCTTTGACTCCTTTTCTCATCCGATTGGCCTCTAACTCTCTTGAATCTTCATTCCATTGCCCATCTCATCTATGAATTATTTACAACTTTGTCCTCGAACTTTCAATTTCTTCAACTCTAGTCCGTTTTCGCTTGTTTCTTTTATTTTCATCATCTCATAATATTACCAAATTGGTATTTAGTTCATTCACTTCCTTGATTTGTCCTTCAAACTATCTTTTGGATAATTGTACTTTGGTCCCTGAATTATCACTTTGCTCCATTTTAGTCCTTTTTCGACTCTTTTCTTGTGAATTCTATCATTTCTATAGAAACACCTACATGCATGAATTCAGAGATTAAGTCACAATTTAAATATTTTACTCGTAATTAAGTCATGTTTGTGATCTAAATAAGTGTGCAAAAACACACTTATCAAACCACCCCCCAAACTTGAACTATTGTTTGTCCTCAAATAAGATAGTGATTAATTCTGAACAAATATGGTTTAATACCCTGTCGTGGCTCAGGATTGGACTAAGTATCTGACTTTATTAAAATTTATCAGTGCAAAAAATGACATCAACCTTTACCTGTTAAATGCATACTTGACATGTGTGTGAATTGATGCCAACATATCAAATTCATGATAGGTTGAGTCCCGACCCCAAGTGGTCAAATATATCCTTACACGCTCTAGAGATACACACCCCCAAAACTTATTCTCTTCACTCAATTATCCCGGGGTTGTGTTTTAAAATTAGGAGTTTACATAGCTATAGTCCTCACCCTCTTGTAGTTTAGATTTATCTTACTATCACAAGTTTACATTTCTACAAATGAAGGCTCTCCTATATTTGATTGCTTCGACACTCAAGATTAAAATAAGTTACTTGCCTCGCCTCAAAGGTATAGTTTCCTCAACCAAATGTCTAAGGGCTTTTCTTCATGTTATTGTCTCTCTTTTATTTTTCTCACTCTCCTTTTTTTTTATCATCATCTTCTCATTTGCTTTCTATATAACACATGTAATGAGCTTTAGGCCGGTGACTCCCAAACCAGTTGGCTTTAGGGCACCAGGTTTTAAACGCTTGCAGGCTTAATCACTTGAGTTATAAAGGCTCGATCAGATGACTTTTTATTAACCTCTTTCCCTCTTGCTTTCTACATGACCGCTTTAGCGAGCTTTAGACCGGTGACTCCCAGGCCAATTAACCTAGGGCACCAGATTTTATAATATTCTTGTAGGCTTACTTGCTCGAGTCATAAAGGCATGAAAAGAAGTGTCTTATTCTCACAAATTAATTTTATGCCCTTATTGATCTAGACATTTAGTTTCCAAAACCAACCCCCAATTTAAGATTTTCTCCTAATCTTCACCTCACTGGTCTAGTCAATCCACACAATAAAATTTTATGCACGGAGCCCCCGCTTATCTCAATGCTCCATATAATAGCTCAACCAATTCCAAACTGTCTTAAGGTGATTTACGTGTTAATTCAATAGACGGTTATCATTATTTTCCTACTTTATGCTCAATCCAGTCATTCACCTAACATGTCAAGCATGAATAGCGTGCATTGATAATGTCAAGTATTGCATCACAAGTATTGGTTAATCTATTCAGCACTATATCCAAAGTTTATGAATTATACCAATCCAATAATCACATCATAGCCGGCAAGGCTATAGCCCATACAAGCATGCAAAAGTATAATCAACACACACTCATCAAGCATGCATCATGCAACAACTAGTCAATAATAACGATGGATTATGAAAATGCAAAATAATTACATGCTGACTATTTGTTTTAAATTATGCCACCATCCCCCAAACTTATGCAATACATTGTCCTCAATGTAAAAATTAAAGTTTAAATGGCATAATTTTAAAAAAAAATGAACACAAAATAGCAAAATGAGGTAAACAAGACTCCTCTGATCAATACAGTGGCTGTGATGGAAGGCTGGGTCCTGCAGCATCATCTCCAGGAAGGGGAGGAAGGCGGGATAAAATCTCTCTCAACAGGTCAGACTGCTTGGTCTGCTCCACCTGCATGGCCTAAACCCTGGTCTCCAAGCTTCCTAAACGGTCCTATGTCTCATTCACTTGTCACTGTATACCATCCACCCTACCAACGTATATTCCCAATCTCCCATCAAAGGTACTCATCTCTCTTCTTGCTGCAAGGGACTCGTGTGGATTGTGCTTAGGCTATTTATTGACATGCCTGGATGAACGATGACCTAAATTATAAAAAATGCTGAAAATTTGAAAAACTCCTAGATTAATGCAAAATGAAATAAATAAAGGGTAAAGACGTTGGGTTGCCTCCTAATCAGCGCTATTTTATAGTCAATAGCTCGACTTTTGGCACAGGTATTTTATGAAACTTTAAATATGGTTTGGGAGGTCTTGCATAGTTTGCTCAATATGGTCTTGTTCCACACTGCAGTTATCCTCCGAATTTCATCCCTGTCTCTCTCCAAGTGGTTTGGCTTTCTTTCCTCATCCGTATGAAATCCCATATTGAATGCCTTAATCTCCTTTGAATCGTTAAGAACGGATGGAGAGTGTACTATACAGGCCTCATGAATGTTTGGTTGTTTCTTCAACTCAAAATTATA